CAGACTTGTTTATGTAGCAGGCCGTGAAGGGCACATGCTAAAGGTGCTCTCTTACATCAGTGTTAAGTGCTTAACGCCAGCGCATGCTATCATATTTTATGTAAGTATACACCCTAAGTACAGAGAAATTATGACAAAAATGTTAGCAAGCACTTTCAAAATTTCCTACCAGCAGTCTTGACACATCTTTGAATCTCTGTGGGATTGGGATCTGTATATGACTACAGATGCGACGAATATTGCTAAGTATTATGTGGAGAAAAAAAAAAAAAAAGACTGCAGAAGAAAAGCAACTCCTTAATTTGAGAAGTTCCATTCCACAGATAATTGTCAAATCAAAATGCTACGAATCCATAGTATGAAAGTTCAATTAAAAAAAAAAAAAACAACATTAAAATATTGGCATCAAATCCTTTACTTTACAGGATGCCTGTAGAATACTTCCTACTGCATTCCCTCCTTTTAAGGATGCATTTACACCTTCCCATTTTGAGATGACTTCTCTACACTTAGTATTTTAAAATAAAGCTAGACATTTTTATACTTTACCTGCTTACATAAAGGTTAAACCAGATAAACTCAATTTTATTGCTCCATCTGCTCCCAGTAAATTCACTACCCAAAAAAACATACTTAAGTGATGTAGTCTTCCACATGGACAGTCAACAACAAAATGAATGAGTACATACAATTTAAGTCTTGGCTTAGAACAGAATTTAAGCTTCACACAAGTGGCTGCAATTCACAAGTACTCAAAATATTTAAGCAAAAGCACACAGAAATCAGGCTCTGAATGCTGTAAACAAACACCCATACAGGGACACAAGTGTAGTTCAATCTTTTGTAATAGGCTATGCTAACTTTTCTTTTTGTTTTTAGGGGGCTATTACTATTATTTATATTATCTCTGGTGACATTAACACACTCGTAAACTATTTTAGTTTTGCGGTCTGGATATTTTACGGTTTAAGTGTATTTGGACTTATTGTTATGAGGTTTAAAAGAGAAGAACTCAAGAGCCCAATCAGGGTAAGTTCAGCATTCAGTACGGCTTTTCTTATATTTCCATAAGTAGCATAAACTAATTCTAGAAGTTTGCATACTTACACAACACCCTGAGGCAGAGGCCTCTGCCCCACATGAAATTTAGCCATTTATTTGTAGCTCCTTCAAGTTTTGCACCAGGACAAAGCTGAAAGACTCCAAAGGTGTCCAAGCAATGTTTATTTTCCACACACACAGACTACAGTGGAAGTTCCGTTTCAGACTTTCAGGGACGGGAATCTACAGTCAGCAGACACAAAGACAGGTTCAGAGTTCACTGTATTGGAGTAAGGTCGCAAATCCGTTAAAACACACATGTGAATTACTAGACTGCAATTAGCAATAATAACAGATATTTTTAAATGACTTCCTCTATCCATATTCTTGCTACTTTAATTGCCAGATCTAGTTCTAGAAATGTTGTAAGGCGATGAAAATCTGCCTCTTGTATGTGAAACTTCTGTGAGAATGGTAGAATAACTTGCTAAGTATTTCTGTGAATATTATTATTATCATTTTTAACTTGCAGATACCTATGGTCATTCCAGTTATAGTGACATTAATATCCATTTTATTGGTACTGGCACCAGTCATCACCACAGCTGAACTGGCCTATTTGTACTGTGTTTTATTTATACTAAGTGGACTTATATTTTATGTACTTTTCGTTCATTACAAGTTCAAGTGGTCTCAAAAAATATCAGGTAAGCATACCTCCTCAATCGCCATTCAACAGAACATTCTTAAGCTTTACAGTAACTACTCCAACAAAGCTCATTTTAATGGCCCATCCCAACTAAATTATATAGTGGAGGGAACAGAAAGGGAGGCAATTTTCCAGACAGAGAAGTTAGTAAAGCTCACTGCGTGTCACTGAAGAGCATTTTCTCCATTTCTGCAAAAGAAAAGGATGTCCCACTTAAAGCAACAAAGAAACTTAGTTTGCAGCTCTATACATCGCAGTAGTAACTGCAAAGAAGCACTTTTTAAACAAGTAGAACTACTTTAACTGTAACGTTAGCTTTTCAGAAAGTTCCTCCAGTCCATAATTAGAGAGCAGCAAATATTCTTATGCCACACAGCACTCCGCTGTTGGCTCAAGTTATCAGTTTTATTATGCTTACTAAGTACAACATCAGCATTAAGACCAATATTAATCAGTGCTGTTGAGCAAACTGAAAGCTGCAAGCAGTGTGATCATTTATAAAATGATTTTACTTAATCTCAAAAGGAACTCTTTAATAATCTCTCAAAAATGTGATACGCAGCAATTTCTAAGAGAAAACAGCTGCAGAAAGCAGAATTAACAGTTCCATATACAAAAAAGTGTTTCCCCATCCTGAGTCACTACCTATTACATAACTATGCAGATAGAAATAGTTCACTCTATAACAAGCAAGTTACCTAGAACACTTTAGCTTGTTTTGATTTCCCACCCCTTAATTTAAATTTTAGATATGAAAAGACACACAACAACTTCAAAAAATATTTTTAACTAAGAAAAATGGTATTAATCTGAATATAAGCACTTCTTTTCCTGATAAGGCTTCTAATAATTAATTTCCTTCTCAGAGCCAATCACTATGCACCTTCAGATGCTTTTGGAAGTTGTTCCACCAGAGGAAGTTGCTGAATAAAATATTTTGTGTGAGATGACGTGTTTTTAAGTGCTACATCAGTTGAAGGAGATTCCATTCAGTTTGGGGCACACTTAAACTTTCTGAATTGCTATGTTCATACTAGTGGGCAGCATTTTTGCAACGCTACGTAGTATGTGAAGTAGATTAAATTTAAGAATAAAAAGATTTCTAAGCCAAATTAGTACACAGCAAAGCTTTTTTCATTGTTTGCCAACACGTTAAGCTTGTCTTTCTCTTCTGCACTAGTATCACTTAAAATAAGGACTTCTCAATTAAAATGA